CACACACACACAGACACAGACCCACGTGGATGGATGCACGCAGGCAAAGCGTCACGTGTCAGTATCGTCTGCAGACAGGTCTGTACCAGAGTGGTAGGCATCGGCTGTGGGTGTTGCTGGTCGGTGCGCGGCGAGCCGACGCGCGTGACGCCCCACCAGATGTGGTAGATGGTCCCGCGGATCAAACGGCTCCAGTGGGGATACCTGCAGGCAGCCATGGTATCGACACACACGTGCATCTCTCTCTCCCTCTCTCTCTCTGTGTGTGTGTGTGTGTGTGTGGTGGTCAGGCCGTCAATCCATCAGCACCCACCGGCCCACCCACCCGTTGACGTCGGCGACACGCGCCCACACGCCGTTCCAGATTGCAGGTGAGAGGCCGTCGTACCCTCGCGCAGGCAATCCACTCAGCTCCAGACCATCGCACGACTCCGATGGCGGTGGCGAAGAAACTGCTGTGTGTCGACACACACACACACACACATGGAGGTGCGGTGGTTTGGTTGATGTATGTGTCCATGTGCGTGCGCCTGCTCACCTGGTGGTGGTGGTGGTGTTGGTGGGTCTCTCGGCTCTGCTGGTGGAGGAATAGGCTCCCCCCATTTCTCATAGTCTGGTTCGGGTTGCTGGCTGCTGACTGGGGGCAGCTCTGACGCAACAGGGAGGCTCTGCTGCGGCACATCTGCCGTCTCGTTGTGACCCTGGAGAATGAGACAACGAACACAACACGCACCTAGTACTAACACGCATCGTATGCAGAGAGCTGGGTCTGTCTGGTTTGTTTGTCGTGCCGCCGACCGACCGACAGACCGACCAAGCAAGCCAGGTGGACTGAAGTGATCTCCTCATGGTGGTGCACGTCCTTCTGCACCGTCCAGTTGAATGGCTGGAAGCACACGGGGGAGGAACCATCTGACACACACACACACACACACACACATCTGTAGGTCCAGACCCATTGCTCCTGCCTGCCTGCCTACCTGTGCACCGGTTGTCGACGGCTTCCGAGGTGAATGCATGGAACTCCTGGGCATTGTCGGCAGGCCGCTCGGGCTTGTCGGGCGTGATGAACTGCACACAAGATCGGATCGACCATGTAATGCACACTCTCATGTCCACGTGTGATAGACTGCCCTGACCACTCCCTGCCTGCCTCTCTGCCTGCCTGCCTCTCTGTCTGTCAGATGATTGATCACAACGTACCAGTATCTCCGGGTTGCCCATGCCCTCGGAGTCGTGCAGCACCTGCCACCACATGTGATACACTCGACCACCGCCAGCCGCCATCTCCCAGTGAGCCACTCTGTCGGTCGATCGACAACACAACACACTCGGGCTGGCTGGCTGCATCTCGCTCACTCCTTCACTCACCCCGACACGTCATTAGTTCTGTTCCACAGTCCGTTCCACACGGCCGGGGTGAAGTTGCCGCTGTCAGGGTAGCTCTTGTCGGGGAAGCCCGTCACCTGCAGCTTCCCACAAGGACCTGAGGGAGCAATCAAATGCACACGCACACACGCACCCACGGGCGCCGCACTCCCGGCGTTGGCTGCATGTGTGCGTGTCGATGTGGTGCGTACGCTGTCGCTGGAGTGACCGTCGGGCGAGCAAAGCCCCGCCTGCATCAATCACAAAAGAGAGAGATACAGACAGACAAGCAAGAAAGATGGAGGCAGATGCAGGAAGATGAGATGGATGATGCATCAGATTGACTGCAGTACTGCGTGTGTGCATACCTGTGTGCGCTGCGCCGCATCCCGCACACACGAGTGCCCAGAACAGCCCCGATTGCAGCACGGATCTTCCCATCGTTGATCGTTGAGCAGATTTCACGACGAACTGTGCAGATCTTTCCAGCCTTGCAGCATCACAACACCACTGCCGTCACGCCGCCGCCTTCTTTCGCCTCTCCGGCCTGCGAGCTAATCTTGCAGACGCGGTCGTAGTGAGCGGATCTTCAAGTTCTCTCATTCTCCTGTGCCGACCTGTGATTGGCTGCCTGCAATCACTGCACCGCGCGCACATCAAAAGGTGAGGGCACATGGATCGATGGATGTGGGGTCGATGGAGAGTGTGCTTGCATAGCTGACTGCCATTGTCTGGCTCGGAGTCAACGACGTTGCTGCTTGACTCAGGGCGCGCAACAGGTTTCGGGGCCAACCAGAACAGTTTGTCCCGATCTTGGATTTCGCAGAGACTGGACGGTACGCAAGGCAAAGTCAGTTGGAAAGCGAGGCAGATGGAAGTCTGTTTGTTTGTTTTGCGGGTGCCGATGAAAGGCGAAAGCAGCGAGTGGCTCTCCTGAAGACCCTTCTCCATGGCGGCCAGGGCGGCGACAGGCAGTGAGTCAATCGGCAGTCTGCGGGCCATCCGAGTCTGGAACGAGGGCACCGATGACAAGCCGCCTGCCCGCTGCCACGAGCGATGGGTGGCCAAGCTGGATGGACTCAAGGGCCACGAGAAAGCCGCCATCATCGGCACTCGAGGGGCCACCATCAAGCGGCTGCAGGATGAGTCCAAGGCAAAGATCTATGTGGCACCGCACCACCAACAGCAACAGCAGCAGCAGAGATACGACGCCGGTCAGCGCGGCAGGGGCCGGGGAGGAGGGCGGGGGGGCCGCAGCCACCAAACACACCGCGACCAGACGGACGGCTCCGATGTGCTGGTGAGCATACCGACACGAGCGGCGAGATGCATGCTTACTCTGTGCGGTTTTCCTTCCCCTCTTCGTCTGTCTGTCTATCTACAGGTGCGAGGTCATCTTGCGTGTGTCCTGAGCGGATGCCGTCTTGTCATCGCCTTGCTGCGGCAGGTCAGCGGCGGCTCGGGTCGTGAGGGCAACTGGACCACGGACACCTACCGGTGTGAGCTCATCGACGAGAGTGCCGGCCAGCAGTTTCCCGGATGGCTGCAGCAGGGGAGAGACCGAGAGGACAGCGGGGTGCCGTCACTGCTCTTCAAGTCGAGTCGGTCGCGCACACAGGAGGGCGTGGATCGGCCGCTCAACGAGTTCGGTCTGCTCGTGGCTGCTGTGAAGCGACCACCCAGCTGGGATGAGGACGAGGGCTCCTATGCCCGAGCGGAGGCGGCGCTGGGCGACCTGTCCGGCTCACCCTCCTTCTTGTCGTCTTTCGAGCGGCTGGTGGACAGCACCCACCTATACATCATGCACACGAGCGTTGAGCGCATCGGCAGACTGTTCGACCTCCTCCACGAGAGCAGCTTCATCCCTCTGCCCACGCAGCCCCTGGCCACCTTCTCCTTCCCACCCATCCCGGCATCTCGCAGCCCGTCGCCCGCTGCCCTCCCCACAGCGGAGCTCGTCTCGTCCTACTCATGGGTCACTGGCTCCTGCATGAGGTCGCCTGCCTTCGTCCGGGAGTACCTGAGCGACGCTGGCGCCTACCCGATGGAACTGGACGGCATCACGTGGCTTGGGCAACAGCAGTGTCCCGACGGCTCGTTTCGCTTGACGCATCAGCTTCTGGACATCCTTGGTGTCAAATCGGTGTCGTTGGCTTGTGCGCTCGAGAGGGGCAGGAGGGAGGGCGGCCTCGCACTGGGCGATGGCGACCTGCCGAGCAAGGTGGCAACCCTCACCGTCGTTGCTGGCGTGCGGTTCTGGTGAGCAAAACGAATATGTATCAACATGGGCGGGAAAAGGCCGGCAAGCAGGGAACACACACTCGTCTGTGTGTGCGTACGCCTGTCTGTTAATGCAGGCGCCACGCAGCGCGGCGGTCCAGCCGGGTCAACGCGAGTGCTCTTGGTGCCGAGGCGCTGAGGACGATTGTCACACGGGCGACCACCTGGCTGGAGCAGCACTGTGAGGGCGCGAGTGATGCTGTCCATTCCCTGGCGGAGAGTGAGGCGTTTTCCATCTACCGTACGGACAAGACCGTCTTGTTTGAGCCATTTCTATTCGCTTATACGATGGCCCCATCAGACAAGAGAGCGCCGCAGCTGCAGCCACAGCACTGGGAGATCTTCATCCCGCGCAACACGCTCACCGACCTGATGCAGCTGCCCTATGATCGCACCAAGGGCATTGCCTTCACCATCGTCAAGACGGAAAGCGGGCGGCTGTTCGTCACGGCCAGGGTGTCGCCAGACAACGACAAAACGCTGCCTTTGACCGACCGGGCCATGCTGTATGAAAGCATGGCCACGGGGTGGCGGGACAGCCCGGCGTGTGAGGGGCGGCTGGTGGTCAAGCTGACGACATGGCCACAAGGGCCTTCATCTTCTGCTTTGCCAATGGCGGTGTGGACTCTCACCGACATCGACTGTGTGGTGCCCTCGTCAGGGGAATCTGAGCTGCAGCGGGAGGCAGGGTGGTGCCCCGACCCTGAGAGCAGCTTGGATGGGACCATTATGTGGCTGACGGGCCACGACGGCATCCCACAGCCGGCCGCATGCCAGCAGCCCAACGGGTCGGCACTCTTCTGGTCGGCGCCACTGTCAGACCACACGAGTGGTGGTGGTGGTGACGGCCGTCGAGAGCTGTGCCTTGAGGACACAGTTGAGCTCAAGACGACCTTCGACTTGCCTGGCAGCGAGGGGTTTGAGAATGAGATGCTCATGAGGACGTGGGTGCAGTGTGTTGCCGGCGGCACCGCACATATCAAGGTGACGCACAAACCAATGCACCGGAAGACAGACAGGTGTGCATGTCTTTTTGACGCTGTGTGTGACGGTCATTCATTTGTTCAGGTTGCTTTCAAGTCCCGTCCCGACCCTTCGAAGCCGTGGCGCGTGACGGTCGACTCTCCGCCCACATCCCTCACCCCGGCGACCATCGCCCACCCGAGCAGCACAGTGGGCAGATGGGACGGGGGGTACATCACGTCCACCGTCGGCAACATCCTGTCCTTCATCTGCCAACACGTCACTGAAGCTGGGTGCGTGTATGAGCTTTGCTTCGACCCGCCGTCCACACAGCTGCGGCTCATCAAGAGGGAGGATGTGGGCGCTGATGGCGATAGGGCCGAGGGGGGGATGGACACGACGATAGAGAAGATGCTGCCGGCGTGGCTCGGGCGGTGGGAGAGAGAGGAGGCCAATGGTGGTGGTGGGGATGGGGAGGGGGGAAGAAAGGCAGACGAGTGACATGGGATGAGATGGTGCGAGGCGATGCCTGATCTGTGCACGTGCCGTGTCGGTGATGACTTTTTTTCGTGGCGTGGCGAGACAGACGCTGTGTGCATCAAGTATGTATCATTTATCCGTGAAGTGAATGTCAGCCATGTCATGTGTGCATCACGCCAAACCAGCCACACCTCTCTCTGCCCCTCTAACCGACCAACACACCCACACGCCAATACGCTAGCTTGTTCCTCACTCATGTGTATGTACATCAACAGATCGATCAACCAATGAGTACTTACATGCGATCGATAAGCGGGTGGCTGCCTCTGCCATCCATCACATCACTGGCCCCCCTCTCTGTCATGGACCTCCTTCTTCACCAGGGGCGGGGTGGGCAGGTGAGGCATCATGGGATCGTCGCTGTCTGCTTATTGGGCTCCTGCTTGATGCTGATGCGGCTGTGTCTCGCCGGCTCCTGCTTGACGGCCGCCGGGGTGGTCTTCGGGGCGTCCTTCACAGCCGACCTGAGGCAACAACGGAGCTTGTTTTGCACTGCCTAGTGCATGTGTGTGTGTGAGTGTGTGTGTACTTGATGTCGATCTTGGTCATTCGTTTAAGGCGGTCGGTGTTGACCCACACCCTCGCGCCATCCTCCATCTCAACTCGGTACCACGGCTGCACACATACCGACCGTACACGGGCGGACAGACAATGCAGCACAGCACAGCACAGCCACACAGATTTGCTTGCAATGCGTGGATCTCTCTCCCTTTGTCTGTCTGTCTGTCTCTCTCTCACCTGTCCCTCCCTAATCTCGCAAGTGATGATCCGCTTGTACAACACACCGCCCTCCCCCGCACCATCCAAACCACCGCCACCACACCCACCCTTCTCGCCCTTCTCCTCCTTCTCGCCCTTCTTGGCCTCATCTTTGGGCTCTGTCTTGACGGCAACAGGAACGGCAGCAAGAGCAGCGGCAGCTGCGGCTGCTGCTGCCTTCCGTCTCTTGGTCACCGAGCTGCGCTGCTGCTGTGGCTGTTCCTGTGGATGTGGCTGTGGCTGGGAGGGTGGCTGCTGCTGGGAGGGTGGCTGCTGCTGTTGCTGCTGCTGCTGGTTGGCTGGGTGGACGGTGTTGGGTCGGTAGCCGCTCATGAAGGTGTGCAAGGGGAGCCGAGCTGCTGGGAGATACTGGCCCTGGGGGCGGGGCGGGGCGAGAAACGAAAGAAGGTCCTTGTGTGTGTGTGTGTGTATGGGGAGGCCGTTACCTGTTGGTATGTGGCATACATGTGCATGCATACCTTTGGGGCGCCGCGAGTGGGCAGTTCCTCGTCATTGTCAACAAAGCGATGCGACAGCAGAAACCTGCTCAGCAGACAATGAGTGTCATCGATCGGTCTGGTGCGTGTGTGTGTGGGGGTGAATGAGCGGGCGGGGGGCCTGGTCTGGTTCTCACTCATTGATGGGGTCACAGTTGAGCGGCTCGTCTGTCTGCATGGTGCTCTCAGCGAACCGCCGCAGCGCCTCACGGTCACCCACGGCATCTTGCGGAGGCGCCACACCACAGCCGCCCTCAATGCAACGCGGAAACTGCACACACCACACACACACACACACACGTGCAGCCATCTGGTTGTCTGTTTCTCTCACCCAGATGCGGACGAAGAAGTTGTTGGTAGTGAGTACGTCCTCGACAGTGACGTCCAGGGCCATCTCGCCCACAGCGTAGGTGAAGACGGCGCCCTTCTTGGCCACACGCGCCAGCCTGTGTGTGGGGCTCTTGGGGTGGTCGGCCGTGGACGGCGTGAGGGTGGTCTTCTTGTCGGGCAGAGTGATGCTCACGTTGGCCGCGGCCTCGGGGCGCTGACATTTATTCGTTGGTTCGTTGATGGATGACATCACACAGAGAGACAAGGGATGACAGAGAGGCATGTTTGATCCAGAAGCGGAGCAGAGGGTGGTTTGGGGTGTCAGGCTTACTTGGTATTGGAGGCAGTGGAATATGATGCGATGGAGGTTGAACAGCGTCACCGATGAACTCACTGACCGAACGACCCCACAACACACCCAGACATCGATTCAATGCCCGTGTTGTGTTGTGTTGTGTTGTGTTGTGTCTCCCTCCCACCCTCCCATGGGTCGATCGACTCACTGGCAGCGATGCGTGTGAAAACGTCCCTGCCTTCGTGCCTCCAGACAACCCGCAGCTGCACCAGCTCCACCCTCTCTCTCCCCCTACCCTTATCCTTATCCTTCTCGCCCTTATCATCCACACCCACATCTCCGTCACGCTCCCGCTCTCGCTTGACGCCCCTCTTCTCTCTCTGCTCGTTTCTCTCCACTGGTGGTCCGATGCGGTCGCTCGGCTCTGTCTTGACGGTGCCTGGGCAGGGGCGAGGGGAGGGGCGGGGAGGGGGTGGCGGTTGGGGTGCGTGGGTCTGTGGCTTGAGTCGCGATATGAGGCGCGTCAGGGGGAGGGTGAAGATCTGCAGCGCTGCCGACTCGTTCTGCGATGCCGGCACATTCTGATTAGGCGGGGCCATGGGAGGAGAGCGAAACAGACAGGCAGACATCTCTGGATGGATGGATGCGTTCGTCATTTGGTCTCTCTTGTTTGTTGTTTGCTGACTGACTGACCGGCACTGCTGGGAAGGGCCTGGAGCCTTTCTTTTTGTTCATGCTGAGATTGGCCGAGAAGCAGCCTTTGATGAGCGAACGGTTGACGGCGTCGATGTTGAAGGGCGAGTGGGGTGATGACTCGGTGGGTGCGGGTGGGTGTGGGGGTGTGGGTGTGGGTGGGGTCCATGCAGCGAGCCTGTCGGCGTCCTCACACACGGAGGCGGGGGGGGCCTTGCCAGTGCTACCCTCAGAAATGCAACGCGGAAACTAAACAAAAATAATTAACCACAACACCACCCACGCCCATATTCGCACACTTGGCGTGGATATGGCTTGTAGGTGTGTGGTCTGTGTGGTGTGTGTGTGTGGTGTTCTGACCCAGACGGTGGACACTTTGATGCCCATCTTGACTTGCTCCACAGTCACGTCAAAGGCCAGTGCGCCGTGCTCGTAGCTCCCCACCTTGCCCTGCCACCCACCGCCTTTGCCATCGTCATCGCCATCTGCCTCTCCGTCTTCATCCTCGATGAAGCTGCTCACACGCGGGTTGCCGGAATAGCCGGCCTGGTTGCAGTAGACGGCGTCGGTGTGGCGGTACACAGTGCCGTCGGGCAGCTGCATACACAGAGGGAGGGAGGGAGGGAGGGAGGGATGGAGGGAGAGGGGTGGGTGGGTGTCTTCCCTCTCTCTCTCTCTGTGTGTGTCTTCCTTCCTTGTTCACACATACACACATCCATCCATCCATACCGTCCAGTTGTGTGGCATCATGTTGCTGTGGGGACGCTCTTTGTGCTCCAGGCACAGCGTCATGACTCTATGCATATCTGAGACAAAGAGAACAAAGATAGATGGGCAGAGAGTTAACATACTGCCTAGACTACACGACTGCGGTGTGCGGTATTGTTCATCGTCCGTCCGTCCTTACTGTACAAGGTGTATTTCGACGTCACCCCCACAACCCTGTGTGACACACAGTGGATGGAAGAGGAACATTACAATGATTGCACATGTCTGGTGAGTAAAGGCAATGCCCAACATCAGGTGCGGTGTGCGCATCAGACAACCCACCGGACGATCTTCTCCTCTCCCGGTGCATTCCGGCTCTCGAACCGCAGCTGCACAGCGTTGAGCAGCACCAGCCGCTGATGCTGCCTGCCACGACCACCACCACCACCACCAGCAGCAGCCCCCTTGCCGATCCCCTTATTGCTCTTATTCTCCTCCCTCTTCACACGCTGCTTGGCCTGCGCCTTTTTCTTCGGCTGCTGCTGCTGCCGCTGCACCTCTCGCTTCTGCCGACGCATTGGCAGTGGGGGGGATGGCGGGATGGGTGCTGGTGGTGGCTCGTGCACGGCCGTGTCGATGTGCTTGAGCTGCTCGGTGAGTGGTTCGCGCAGGGGCGATGTGAAGAATGAGGGGAGAGGTGTGGAGGCCAGGCTGAGGACCTGCGGCCACAGGTGGGAGGGCAGGGAGGCCTGACGGGCAGCACAGCACACAGACGGGGGGGGGGCGGATGGATGGATGTCCGATGGAGGGCCACTGCACTGGGAGATGTGTCTGTCTGTGTGTGTGTGTGTGTGTTTACTGGTATGCCGTGCGATATGCCGATCTTCCACCGAAACGCACTGCTCAGCAACACTCTGCATTTAAAGGGAAGGAAAGAAAGAACAACTCAATCGTGCGAAAATCGTCCTTCCATGCGCGACAGACATGTGGGTCCCGATCTCACTCACCTGTTGACGGCATCGATATCGATTCTGGTGGCGGCGCGGTGTCGTGTGATGTCGTCTATGCTGCCGCACGCACTCTGGGGCGGTGCCACGCCCTTGGAACCCATACACAGACGAGGCGCCTGCAGACAGAACAAAGAGGCGAGCGATGCCATACACACGCATGTGTAATCATTGCCCCTCTCCCTCTCTCTCTCTCTCTCTATCACACACACACACACACCCAAATGGAGTCTTCTTGGCGCTTGTGCGTCGCCACTGAGATGATGCGCATCTCGCACTCCACTGCACGCCACCACACACACCACACCACACCACACCCGTCTGTTGGTGTGTCCTCTGTGCGCTGTGCGTGAGTCCTTCCTTACACATGTTGGTGTAGTATTTGATGCGCAGGATGGAGGGATCTATGGTGTCACCACACAGGCTGAGCAGCGTCAGCCGGCTGTCCTGGTCGGTCGTCATCGACACGTCACTCATCACCTGCACACAGCACAACACAGCACAACACAATACAATACACACACATCTTAGATGTGCTTGTGAAGACAAGGTGACAATATATATTTTATTTCGTACGTCTGGTGGTCCGCTGCCATATGGTCCTGATGGGATTTCTGGTGAGTCGTCATTCTTGACTGCAAACAGGTGGATGGCACGGTCAGACTCCTCCTGCACACACCCACACACCGACACACCGAAACAGACAGACAGACAGACGGATGGATGAATGGATGGATGGATGGATGCCTAAACGCCTCACTGACTGACGCCCTCACTCACTGACCTTATAGCCGAGGACACACAGAATGCACCTGAGCACAGGCACACAAAGATGCCATCCATGCCATCCATCCATATGCCATCGTCAGTCACATCCCCCGCCCCCCCTCTTCAGCTCAGCTTGCTTACCGATGGAAGTCGAAGAGAGTGATGGCTGCCGGGACGACGACGCGCCGCACCACCTCGCCCTCCACACACATGTCACTGCTCAGCCTCAACTCCAACACATCATCCTCACGCAGATGCACACTCGTCCCCCCAACACCACCACCACCATCACCACCAGAAGCGCGGTTGCAACCCTCCTCCACCATATGGTCATGATTCTCACGGTAGCGACTGCCGGTGGATGCGCTCCGGCCGCTGTTGAATGCGTTGAAGGGGGTGGGGATGACGTCTGTGGGGAGGTTGGCCTGTTCGAAGAGCTTCTGAAGCTCCCCTCTGGCTATCCTCCGCTCCAGATCTGCGAGGGTGAAGCCGGGGATCCTGCTGTCCGCAAACAGGTCATCGAGGTGCACATCGCTGGCGGGCGCGGCGGCCGTCGTGGCGATTTCGCCTCTGTGAGCCATGGAGTGGGTGCGGCGCGGCTGTAAGGTCGTTTACGGATGTAAACTTTCCGGTACGGGACTGCGCAGCGCACCATGGTGGTTCGGGTGCCCTTGTTTGCCCTCAGCATCTTGGTATGGCTGTCGTGCGGCGTTGCAAGGCAGGGTCCTCCCATCAGTCAGGATGGCGAGTGCGCTGGCTTGAGCTTTGCTGACGTCGGCCCTGCGGTGCTTAAGAAGGATGAGGTCGTCATGGGCATCGACATCGACAGATACACCGTGAGAAGACGACGTGACACGACACACCTCTAGGCGCGGCGGGGGAACCTGCTATACGTACTCGGGGTTGTCTGGAGTTGACAGCTGTCTGACTGTCTGTCTGTCCGTCTGTCTGGTATCCGTGTCCGTGTGCAGGGCCTGTGGTACCAGATAGCTGATTCCATTCTGCCCCGCTGCACCTTTGGTGTGGGTTGCTCGTGCACGGGCACACTCTACGAGGCGGCTCTCGACGCCGACACCGACAGGCCCTTCATCGAGGTCAACAACATATGCCGGAGGGAAATCCCGGTACCACCGTCAGAAGGCCGCGCAGACCCAATCGAGGATCCGGACAGTAAGGGACTGATTGAGGGGCGGCTGTATGTGCAGTTCGCGCCAGACAGGGACGAGCTAACCTTCCCTCCCACTGGCGTGACCATCTTGGATCAGCCCGAGTTCTTCTTTTCGCGGGTGGGCAACTACTGGATCATTTACCTTGAGCCGGCCGAGGGGGAAACACTGGAGGAGGGAAAGGAGCCCTATGAGATCGCCGTGGTAGGCCATTGCCCTGACGCACCTATTGTGGTCCAGAATGGATAAACGCAGCGCTGGCTGTGTGCTGTGTGTAGATTGGGAGTCCCGACAACACGACCCTGTTCATTCTCTCGCGCAAGCCAGAGGTGTCTGACGAAGACTATGAGCGCATCCTGCAGGCCATTGTCGACTTGGGGTACGACCTCGATACCGTCCAGCTGAAGAAGACGGAGCAGGGGGGAGACTGCCCGCCGCTAGAAGACCTGCTCGCCGAGATCGGGGTCGAGGTGCCCGAAGACACGACTCCTGATAAGACCACTTCGACGACAGAAAAGCCCACTGAGGCGCCGACCAAGAAGCCGACCAAGAAGCCGTGTGCTAGTAAATAGGTAAGGCCAGCAGCCGGTCGGTGTGCGTGTGTTGTGTGTGTGGTGCTGTGCTGTGATGGCTGGAGGGTGGGATGGAGAGTGGGGAGAGAGAGATGTCTGTCTGGCTGCATAGGCATATGGTCTACAAAAAGTGGGCCTGGCTTGCATTGCACTCACTGTTCATCTTTCTGTCTGTATCCATCTTCATTCGCTCGGCTGCTGCGTGTGTACTAAGGGAGCGAGTGAGTGAGTGAGTGAGTGGGTGGGTGAGCGCATGACTGACTGCATGCGCTACGTGCCGGTGTAGTTGCAGCCCAGGTGTCGATGTGTGTGTGTTGTGTTTCGTACTACCCTTGTAGCCCTCACAGATGGATGGCTATACCATCCCACCCACACGCATTTATATGATGGATGATACCCACCATATCTTTTTCAAGGACTGATGCCTGCCTGCCTGTCCTGGCACAGTCCCGTGGCACATACAAACCTGGACGTGGGGGTTCTCCAAAGAGGAGAGGCATCCGTCCGTCCGTCAGACAGCCGATGAAAGAACGAATGAATGAATGAACGAAAGAGGAGGAAGCTTCCTTCCACACATCGATCGCAGTGATAGCACACATGCACTTTCTATCTACAGCATGGATCGTGAAATGTATGTACCATCAGGCAGTCCATCACATAGCCCGCACCGTGCCATCCTGTTCACACAGCTGGGTGTTAGTTACACCAACACACGAAGGCCGTCACATCTTTGCGAGGCCCATCAAAATGACGCCCGCCGACTGTAGCGTTATGGCTGGTACACACACACGCACACAGAGAGAGGGAGAGGGAGGGAGATGACAGGTGAGCATCGATCGGTGGGTGTGCATACCAGTCCAGAAGCAGACCACGTTCACTTTGCCGTGGATCTCCTTGAAGACGAAGAAGGCAATTAAGGCAGCCACCACCACCTGCATACGCACACACGCATCCACCAAAGAATCAAGTCCGTGTGCAGTGCACCTACACGCGTAAGCATTCCCTCCCTCCCATGTCATGTATGGCATGGCATGTGTACCTACGTACCGGTCCGATTGCACAGAGGATGTAGCCAAAGGTGTAGCCAAGCCGGGGAAGCACCAGCAACTGACCTGGTGGAGCCAGCCATACACACACGCACACTCATCCATCTGTCCATCCATCCATTCATCCCTCTGTGAAAGCGTACATGCGTTTCCGACGGCCCAAATGACCCCTGCCAGCCACGCGGGTCGGATCACAGTGTGCGGCACCCTCCTGCTCTGCACCAGCGCCACGGCCGTGTACAGCAGATACAGCAGCTGCGCCGTCGCGTAGATGCCCAGCACCTGCACACACACACACACACAGAGAGAGAGAGAGAGGGATGCAACACCACACGTGGCCATGTGTATGTTTCAGCAGTGCAGCCTCCCTCCCTCCCTCCGTCCCTCCCTCCCACGCACATGGGAGAGCATGAACCCCAGTGAGTCTCTGGTGGTGAGAGCTTTTCGCTTGTGCATCCAGATGTCGTACGGCAGCATATTCAGACCAGCTGTGAAACCTGTTAGTTAACATACACACGACACGCATGCATCCGTGACCTGACTGACCATATATTCACTTACTGTGTCTGTCCTACCACCCACCCACCCACACACTTACCAGCCATGACTCCAACCGACACCCCCCAGACCTTCCCCCAGTCTAACCGCCACCTGCACACACAACACACGGGACGCAACACACATCACGCCACAGACAGGTCATAGATGACATGTACTGTGGCGATGCGTGCCTCGTGGGACTCTGATCTGGCAGATCGTCCCTGTGGTTGTCCACATGGCCGTGTGGGTGGGGCATCCACTTGTCCCTATCACCTGCACACACACACACACAACATCTCAGCAAGATACGGATGAAGGATCGTACACACGCACCGATTGGAAAGTGGGAGTGTCCCTCTTTCCCCGTCAGGGCCGTCCGCAGCACCGGCGATGCCGCACCGCCGTCGGACATGGGGTTGGCGCCATTGGCCATGGTGGTCATGTCGACAGTGGTGGCGCTTCGCTGGTGCTCCTCGATCAGCGGATCTACCAGCTGCTGCTGCTGCTGCCGCTGTTGCTGCGCTGACTGGGGCATTGCCGGCATCGGCATTGGGTGGTCGAACGTCTCGAGTCGCTTCATTCTGTTTCTCTCGAGTGCGGGCTCAACGACCAGAGTGAACAGGAAGGACAGCAGCAGAAGCGCCAGGCCGACATCACTCAGCCACGGAACCCTTATCGTCTCCTTTGGAGCACCCAGGAAACCTACACACACACACACACACACACACACACAGGCGCACACGTTGAATGTCCAAATGCGCCATTGGTCGATCGCTGACCGACCGACTCTGCCGACGAGGAATCCGATGAGCAGGTTGACAGCGTGGTAGAGCGTGAACCCCAGCCCCAGTCCAAGGAACCTGACGGTGGGCAGCACCAGGTAGTTGCTGACACCCCAGAAGGCACCGCCCAGCAGCCCCGGCAGCAGAATCGGCAGCGGGAAACCTGTGAATGAATGAATGAATGGATCTGCGTTTGTTTGCATCTTAGCTCAGCTGAGGGTTTTCTCACTCACTTAGGCACAGGTTGATGATGAATCCTGTGATGAGGATGCCGCCTGCCATGTGGTATTGGAACAGGCTGCCGTCGTGGATCTCGTACTTCTTCACCTGCAGACAGACAGGCGCAAAGGAAGGAGCAGACAGACAACCACACACACACACATGAATGAATGATCTCGGTGCTCGTCCATGGAGGGCGCGGCTTACTGGGACGTATTGGATGCCAAACATGACGCTTGCAAGCAGCCCGAGCAGCAAACCAACACCGTCCATGAGTGGGAGTGAACCACTGCTTTGCGGGCCCTCAGATCCGTCGGTTTCGACTCTCGATGCTGCGTGTGTGTCACTGACTGGGCAATGCACACCCGGCGTTGTCGACAGGATGACTGCCGTCGCCGGTTCGTCGCAGTTCGTCGTGCCTTCTCGCCTGCTGTGTTGGTGAGAATGACGCAGCCGACGACCACAGCTCACGACCTGCAACATCGTCAAGAGCATGAATCAAATACATAAGAAGCCGCTAAGAAGGGACGGAGATGTGTGTGAGTGTGTCTGTGTCGCCACAGACCGCAAACCTGCTTGTGAAGGAATTCGAGCGATCCGAAATGCGAGCATGACGGAGCTCGGCACAGTGACTGTGACAGATCTGTGCTTCTCCATGCGTTGAACGATGCCAGAAGACCCCGAGAACGCCTCACCTGCACCAGTCGCTGCTTCCGCGCCAGCGCGAGAAGCAGCGCTCCACGCCGTAGTTCGCTCTCAGCTGGACGCCCTCCAGAACACGGCGGATGCCCTCACGCTCGTCAAGACCACGCAGGAGGCCATCCAGACATCGATAGTCCAACTGCGGGAGCTGTTCAAGGCGTCGCCAGCATCGGAGAGACCAAGAGCGCGGACCCTCGCGCCACAGCTGCCCACTTTGACGCGCCGGGTGGCCCGCGCGCCGAGTGCCCCGTCAGCTGATGTCCCTGGTCCTGCGAATGGCTTCAAACAAGCTCCGTCCGCTGGGATCAGGCAGCGGAGCATCACTATCAATGGCATCGGCGCCACCCACCCCACGGCGGCCTCTACGCCCGACACGGGCGATGAGGAGCACCCGGCTCTACAGGATGCGCCTTACAGTCGGGCGTTGGGTACTCGGACGGAGAGTGTGGCGTCATACGAGTCGAGCACCGAGGGCGAGGGCGCCTTGAGGGCCTTTTGTCGGCATTACTGGCAGGGAATACTTGAACCTAGGATGCCCGTGGAGACCTGGGAAACCGCCAAAATGCTTCGGTGAGTCAGTTTGCTCGTGTGCCACACAACACGTGGGTTGGGTGGACGTGTGTGTGTGAACCAATTGACGGCTGTGTGTGATGTGGTTGTGATGTAGGAAGGGGAACAAGGTGTTGGCGGTGTGGGCGCGTTTGGCGGGCCTGTCGTTCATTCCCGACGACGGCGTCTTCCTGCTCGTCATCTATCCGCTCATCATACAGCTTATTCTGTGAGGAGGAGGAGGAGGAGGAGGAGGAAAGCCACACACTCTGTCTGTGTTTGTCTGTATGTGTCTGTGTCTGTGTCTGTGTGTGGTGGTGTGGTGTAGCTGGCACAGCGCAGTGATGGGCATCATTTCGTTCACATCGTCCGTCATTGGAGGCTCAAAGGTGAGCGCACAGACAGACAGACAGACACACAGACACACAGACAGGCAGCTGGCTGCACACGTGCATAGTGAGTGAGCGCGTGTGGTGCGATCACTGCAGGTCATGATACAGGCGGGCGACCCTGTGGTTCAGTTCCTCTTCTTGATACTCATGTTTGCCATCGCACTCAGTTACACTGTCCTCAGGGCTCAGTGGGTCACCAGGTACACACACACACAGATGGACATGGACATGTTGACTGGCACAGGCCATGTTGACTAACTACCATCTGGTGTGTGTGTCAGGGGCTACACCTTTCTGTCTGCGGCGACGTTCGTCCTAGAGAATGGTGTTGACTTGGCGCGGAAGGTCAAGGGCATGGCGCGTGTGCGCTTCGCGGTCTGCCTGTCGTTTGCATTCCTGTGCACACTCGTCGTTATCGTCTTCAACCAACAGGTGCGGTGGATGGGTTGGCAGATAGACAGACACGTTCGTGTGTGTGTGTGTGTGTGTGTGTGTACGTGTCCATGTGTATCTGTCGCTGTGTGTGTGCAGGTGTTCGCCACTTTCATATTTGTGGAGAACGGCAGCTTCGCGTGGAAGGTGTGTGCGTGTGTCTTTGCGCGCGTGTGCATACTGACTGATTCATGCATTCAACAGGAGCATGCCATGCCATGCGGCCGGCGTGTTTGCCTTTTGTCTGTCTGTCTGTCTGTCTGTGTGTGTGCAGGTGAACGTGTGGATCTCTGTGGTCCTCGGGCACTTTTTCGGCCCCTTCTGCGGGCTGACTGTGGCGGGCATCATGGCCGACATATGCGACATTCACTCTGCAACTGTCAACGTAAGTCAGCACAGCACACACAAGATGATAGAATGACGCACACGCACGCACTGCACACGTGTGGTCTGCAGGTGTTGCTTCGAAGGCTGACAGAGCGGGCGCAGTCTAAGAACAAGACCAAGACCAAGACCAAGGCCCTCGACGCCTATCAGCTGATCGCACTGCACCGCAGGTACGCACCCGCATTGCACCCACAACCATTTTCCCTCACTGAACACATGTGTGTGTGTGTTTGCGTATGTGTCTGCAGGGTGGATGGCTTCCTGGTCCGCAGCGCACGAGTGTAAGCCGACAGGCAGACAGACAGACAGACAGACAAGACAGCCAGAGCACCTTGACTGACGCGGCAAACGGTCACCTCTGTCCCTGTCATTCATTCTTCATCTGTATCTGTGTTGTGTTGTGTTGGTTGTGTTTAGGTTGGAGCTGCCAATCACCGTGCAGACGACCCTGTTCTTTGTGTGCTTCCTCACCTGTGCCTTCATCCTCATCTTCCACAAGGGGCGGGGCAGCACTGGCGACCCGGAGGAGGACGCAGAATCCGTCGCAGTCTACCATGTCGCACCGGTGAGTCAGTGAGTCTGCCTTGCCTTGACTCACACAGAGAGAGGCATTCATAGTGGTGTGTTTTGTTTGTGTCGCTGGCTGGCTGGGTGAATGGGATGGATGGGATGGGTGGCTGCAGCTGGTGATCTTTGTGGCGGTGTCGGTGGCCAATTATTGGATTTTGTCGTCCTCATCTGGCGTCACGATGCGGTGCAGACGGCTGCCCGTCATCGCATCACTCTCGTGCAGGCAGGCAACACACCAACCGACCCTTTTCCCCCTCCCCTCCCCTCCCCCTACCGCACCACACCACAAACACGTTCATTCGTTTGATGCCTTGATGCAGATCCCCTCGGCCGCCGTCACTGGGCACCACGCCTCCCGGCTCTCGACCCGATGACGCCAACGTCCATTCGCCCCCGTTGCTGCGCTCCCGCACCCTCACCAAGGCCGACGCCATTCGCGAGAAGCTCGACGTCATTCAGGAGGAGGGCATCGTGGCCAGCAGCAACCTCGACATCCTCGAAGGTCGGGCGGCCAAGAGCGAGGAGGTGCGCAAGGCAACGTGGTGGCGGATAATGAAGGGGCTCTTCCCGAGCAAAAGTGAGCGGCAACAGCAAAAGCGGCGCGTCAGGTCCATCGACATCGAGTGGCGCGAGATGGCCACCAGGGACAACTACGACACAGACAATGATGGGGCGGACGACGGTTGCCAGCTCCCCCCCGCCGAGACGCCGGTGGCAGCCGTGAGGGTGGCCTCTTCCAAATCGCTGGCCAGCATTCTGGTCGACCATCTGCCGCTGGGCCCTCCCGGCGTCAGCGAGGCCGAGACTCGCCCATCCACCACTTTGAGGTCTATGTCGCGGCAGAGCACTGAAGAGAGCAACGTGGCGCCCTCTAGGGGAGGGGGTGCTGGCGCTGGCGGGCTGGGAGAAGAGGCGGCTCGGCAGTATGTCGACGACGTGGCCGAGCAGCTACTGTTGATTCAGTACTTTACGGCTGCAAGTGAGTGAGCCGATTGAGATATTTGAGGCCGGACGCACGCGCTCACTCACGGAGACAGACCATTTAGAACTGATTGTTTGCATTTTTCTGTGTCTGTCGATGTGCCAGATTCAGGCTGGCGGGTTTATGATGTGTTGGTGACGACAGACCTCACCGGGCGTGTCCTGTAAGCTTGCTTACTCACAAGCCAGCACAGCAGCCGACTGACATTTCCCTCCCTCCCTCCCCAGCAGCTCTGGCTGGTTTCCTGAGGCATGCATTACATACATTAGGTGATGTGTGTGTGTTCCTGCAGGTACGGTATCCTGACGGTGCTTGCATTCGCCCTACAGAGGACGGTTTTCACGGATATGTACTCCTAGATAGATAGAGAGCTTCGTGTGCAGCTGACTGACTGACTGACACAGGACAGACAGACAGACAGACAGACAGACAGAGAGGGGGCGGGGCTGGCGGAGAGGGAGGGGAGAGGTGTCTTTACGTGTCTAGTGTAGTGTTCCGGCGTGTGAATGAGATTCGCGCAGAGGGGAGGGTGGGTCTATGGATGAGTTCACACATACATACATACGCACACACGGGTCCATGTGTGGATGACATGGCTCTACGTCCGAGAGGCCGTTTCTCGGTAGCTCTGTCGATTGCTTTGGGTCGTTCGTTTCTTCACTCACTCAGCTTTCCTTTCCTTTCCTTTTTCCATCTCACGGGCTTCTTCCTTCCCATATGCGTGTGTGATGTTGTGTGGCGTCAAGTGAGGTGAGGTACTCGTTGGTTGTGTTGCTGTAGTTCGGTAGGTACGGTAGGTACACATGGGCAAACAGCTAGGGAGTCAGGCTTGGGTGGGTGGGTGAGGTAGTCTGTAAAGCTTCGATGCATGTGGATCAGGTCAGGTGTGGCTGGCTTTGTAGAGGGAGGAAGGCTATGCCCACCCCGTATGTGCTGCATGGCCGGCATGCATGGCATGGTGGGGAGCATCAGAAAGAACGCTCACTCGACTCGTGCAGTCCAAGGAATATAAGTCTCTCACGTCCATTCATTCCATGGATGAGTCCAAATGTGGCCTCACGCGAGCCA